CTGGCACCCGCCGACCTGGCACCCGCCGACCTGGCACCCGCCGACCTGGCACCCGCCGACCTGACCTGGCACCCGCCGACCTGGCACCCGCCGACCTGGCACCCGCCGACCTGGCACCCGCCGACCTGGCACCCGCCGACCTGGCACCCGCCGACCTGGCACCCGCCGACCTAGCACCCGCCGACCTAGCACCCGCCGACCTGGCACCCGCCGACCTGGCACCCGCCGACCTGGCACCCGCCGACCTAGCACCCGCCGACCTAGCACCCGCCGACCTAGCACCCGCCGACCTAGCACCCGCCGACCTGGCACCCGCCGACCTGGCACCCGCCGACCTGGCACCCGCCGACCTGGCACCCGCCGACCTGGCACCCGCCGACCTAGCACCCGCCGACCTGGCACCCGCCGACGTAGCACCCGCCGACCTAGCACCCACCGACCTAGCACCCGCCGACTCAGCACCCGCCGACCTGGCACCCGCCGACCTGGCACCCGCCGACCTAGCACCCGCCGACCTAGCACCCGCCGACCTGGCACCCGCCGACCTGGCACCCGCCGACCTGGCACCCGCCGACCTGGCACCCGCCGACCTAGCACCCGCCGACCTGGCACCCGCCGACCTAGCACCCGCCGACCTAGCACCCGCCGACCTAGCACCCGCCGACCTAGCACCCGCCGACCTAGCACCCGCCGACCTAGCAGCCACCGACCTAGCACCCGCCGACCTAGCAGCCACCGACCTAGCACCCACCGACCTAGCACCCGCCGACCTAGCACCCGCCGACCTAGCACTCGCCGACCTATACCCGCCGACCTAGCACCTGCCGACCTAGCACCCGCCGACCTAGCACCCAACGACCTGGCACCCGCCGACCTAGCACCCGCCGACCTAGCATCCGCCGACCTAGCACCCACCGACCTAGCACCCACCGACCTAGCACCCGCCGACCTAGCACCCACCGACCTAGCACCCGCCGACCTAGCACCCGCCGACCTAGCACCCGCCGACCTAGCACCCACCGACCTAGCACCCGCCGACCTAGCACCCGCCGACCTAGCACCCTCCGACCTAGCACCCGCCGACCTAGCACCCGCCGACCTAGCACCCGCCGACCTAGCACCCGCCGACCTAGCCCCCGCCGACCTGGCCCCCGCCGACCTGGCCCCCGCCGACCTGGCCCCCGCCGACCTAGCCCCCGCCGACCTAGCAACCGCGCCGACCTTGCAACCGCGCCGACCTAGCAGCCACCGACATGGCACTTACCGACCTAGCACCCGCGGACCTAGCACCCGCCGACCTAGCACCCGCCGACCAAGCACCCGCCGACCTAGCACCCGCCGACCTGGCACCCGCCGACCTAGCACCCGCCGACCTAGCACCCGCCGACCTAGCACCCACCGACCTAGCACCCACCGACCTAGCACCCACCGACCTAGCACCCACCGACCTAGCACCCGCCAACCTAGCACCCGCCGACCTAGCACCCGCCGACCTAGCACCCGCCGACCTGGCACCCGCCGACCTAGCACCCAACGACCTAGCACCCGCCGACCTAGCACCCGCCGACCTAGCACCCGCCGACCTATACCCGCCGACCTAGCACCCGCGGACCTAGCACCCGCCGACCTAGCACCCGCCGACCAAGCACCCGCCGACCTAGCACCCGCCGACCTAGCACCCGCCGACCTAGCCCCCCCGGACCTAGCGCCCGCCGACCTAGCCCCCGCCGACCTGGCCCCCGCCGACCTGGCCCCCGCCGACCTAGCCCCCGCCGACCTAGCCCCCGCCGACCTAGCAACCGCGCCGACCTAGCAACCGCGCCGACCTAGCAGCCACCGACATGGCACCCACCGACCTAGCACCCACCGACCTAGCACCCGCCGACCTAGCACCCGCCAACCTAACACCCACCGACCTAGCACCCGCCGACCTAGCACCCGCCGACCTAGCACCCGCCGACCTGGCCCCCGCCGACCTGGCCCCCGCCGACCTGGCACCCGCCGACCTAGCCCCCGCCGACCTGGCCCCCGCCGACCTGGCCCCCGCCGACCTGGCACCCGCCGACCTGGCACCCACCGACCTGGCACCCGCCGACCTGGCACCCGCCGACCAAGCACCCGCCGACCTAGCACCCGCCGACTCAGCACCCGCCGACCTAGCACCCGCCGACGTAGCACCCACCGACCTAGCACCCGCCGACGAAGCACCCACCGACCTAGCACCCGCCGACCTAGCACCCACCGACCTAGCACCCACCGACCTAGCACCCGCCGACCTAGCACCCGCCGACCTAGCACCCGCCGACCTGGCACCCGCCGATCTGGCACCCGCCGACCTGGCACCCGCCGACCTGGCACCCGCCGACCTGGCACCCGCCGACCTAGCACCCGCCGACCTGGCACCCGCCGACGTAGCACCCGCCGACCTAGCACCCACCGACCTAGCACCCGCCGACTCAGCACCCGCCGACCTGGCACCCGCCGACCTGGCACCCGCCGACCTAGCACCCGCCGACCTAGCACCCGCCGACCTGGCACCCGCCGACCTGGCACCCGCCGACCTGGCACCCGCCGACCTGGCACCCGCCGACCTAGCACCCGCCGACCTGGCACCCGCCGACCTAGCACCCGCCGACCTAGCACCCGCCGACCTAGCACCCGCCGACCTAGCACCCGCCGACCTAGCACCCGCCGACCTAGCAGCCACCGACCTAGCACCCGCCAACCTAGCAGCCACCGACCTTGCTCCCACCGACCTAGCACCCGCCGACCTAGCACCCGCCGACCTAGCACTCGCCGACCTATACCCGCCGACCTAGCACCTGCCGACCTAGCACCCGCCGACCTAGCACCCAACGACCTGGCACCCGCCGACCTAGCACCCGCCGACCTAGCATCCGCCGACCTAGCACCCACCGACCTAGCACCCACCGACCTAGCACCCGCCGACCTAGCACCCACCGACCTAGCACCCGCCGACCTAGCACCCGCCAACCTAGCACCCGCCGACCTAGCACCCACCGACCTAGCACCCGCCGACCTAGCACCCGCCGACCTAGCACCCACCGACCTAGCACCCGCCGACCTAGCACCCGCCGACCTAGCACCCGCCGACCTAGCACCCGCCGACCTAGCCCCCGCCGACCTGGCCCCCGCCGACCTGGCCCCCGCCGACCTGGCCCCCGCCGACCTAGCCCCCGCCGACCTAGCAACCGCGCCGACCTTGCAACCGCGCCGACCTAGCAGCCACCGACATGGCACTTACCGACCTAGCACCCGCGGACCTAGCACCCGCCGACCTAGCACCCGCCGACCAAGCACCCGCCGACCTAGCACCCGCCGACCTGGCACCCGCCGACCTAGCACCCGCCGACCTAGCACCCGCCGACCTAGCACCCACCGACCTAGCACCCACCGACCTAGCACCCACCGACCTAGCACCCACCGACCTAGCACCCGCCAACCTAACACCCGCCGACCTAGCACCCGCCGACCTAGCACCCGCCGACCTGGCATCCGCCGACCTAGCACCCAACGACCTAGCACCCGCCGACCTAGCACCCGCCGACCTAGCACCCGCCGACCTATACCCGCCGACCTAGCACCCGCGGACCTAGCACCCGCCGACCTAGCACCCGCCGACCAAGCACCCGCCGACCTAGCACCCGCCGACCTAGCACCCGCCGACCTAGCCCCCCCGGACCTAGCGCCCGCCGACCTAGCCCCCGCCGACCTGGCCCCCGCCGACCTGGCCCCCGCCGACCTAGCCCCCGCCGACCTAGCCCCCGCCGACCTAGCAACCGCGCCGACCTAGCAACCGCGCCGACCTAGCAGCCACCGACATGGCACCCACCGACCTAGCACCCACCGACCTAGCACCCGCCGACCTAGCACCCGCCAACCTAACACCCACCGACCTAGCACCCGCCGACCTAGCACCCGCCGACCTAGCACCCGCCGACCTGGCCCCCGCCGACCTGGCCCCCGCCGACCTGGCACCCGCCGACCTAGCCCCCGCCGACCTGGCCCCCGCCGACCTGGCCCCCGCCGACCTGGCACCCGCCGACCTGGCACCCACCGACCTGGCACCCGCCGACCTGGCACCCGCCGACCAAGCACCCGCCGACCTAGCACCCGCCGACTCAGCACCCGCCGACCTAGCACCCGCCGACGTAGCACCCACCGACCTAGCACCCGCCGACGAAGCACCCACCGACCTAGCACCCGCCGACCTAGCACCCACCGACCTAGCACCCACCGACCTAGCACCCGCATGATCAAAGCGAGTGAGGTGTCAGCAGTTTGTGAGGGGGTGGGCTGTCCAGTTTCGCAGAACATTTTCCAGGGACCAACGTGTGCAGTAAATGGTTGAGCAATTGGCGGTCTGTACTGAGATCTCTTTGGCGGACTTTATTGGCTGACATCCTGTCATCCTGTGTGGCTGGGTGCTACAGGTATTTTCGTTGATGTGGTTTGGGGACCCCGCCCTGACACGAGAGCCCCCTGTCCGCGCCTGGATTGTTGCACATGTTGGCATGTGGAGGGGGCAGGTGAAGTGGGAGGGACAGGGAACTGGACGGTTCCGGATGCAGGTACTGCTGTACGGAACCATGGTTGCTTGCAAAATGGTTACGCTCTGTTATATCCTACCTTGCATATCCAACATTTCACTGTCGACGGTGTGCGAGTTGCTTTGTCTTGCTTCCGCAGCAGGTAATGCGCAGTGCAAGTATTAGGTAATTCATGGTTGAGCTTGCTGCTCTAGCCCAACAATTGCTATAGCCCAACCCGCAGCTTGCGCCGCTACATAGCGACTGCTGGACTGCCACTTGTAACCAGTTATTTGCCTGTTTCACGCAGTGAGCAGGGCTACGTCACCGCAGACGACCCGCATGACCCGCATGCGCTTGCGTGCTTTTGCACTGTCTACCAGGATGGCGCCACCACTCTGCCCACCACCTTTGGCAACGTTTGGCGGCCTCATGGAAGGGCATATACATACCCCATGGTCCAAAAATAGCAGCGCTCACAATATGCAATTGGGCGCCGAGAATGGTGCGGGATTCGTGCGGAACTGGTGCGGCACTGGTGCAGGAGTGGTGCAATGGCAGCATGGGCGTGGCTTAACAGAAGCCTCGTGCTCTCTTCGGCGCACGTGCATCATCCATCACGCCTTTGCCTTCACTAAACCCCCCTCCAGTTGTAGGCCACCTGACAATCCAATCCCCCACCTCCTTCCTTATCCTTATTACGGCTGAGACTAAAAACATGAAAAGCCCAAACCTCACGCGCCTCAAGAGATACTCGCCGCAAGAATCGTACATCGTATGCCACAGATGCCCCAATCATCGTTTTAGCCCTCAACATTAATTAGGAATTACCCGCTTTCTTTGCCGTAAGTCTCACTGCAAAGACCCAACATAGATGCCGCTCACATGTGCCTTTGATGTGTAGCCTTGTCTACCGTTCTTGAATGCGGAGTAATGAGGGCGATGAGGCTTTGAACAACAGCGCACCGTACACGCTAGAGCCCACGCACCAAGCACGCAATAAGCACTCTCCCGTTGCCCACACAAACCACTTCGTCCTCTCAACCTCTCTACTGTAACGCCTACCTACCTACCAAAACTCTCTCCAACACGATACCGCGGTATCCGCAACTGCGTCAAGATTACACTCTTCGCCTGTAACTCAAGGAAAAAACACGATGCCGCAGACTCCCCACATCTCTATATGCCAAGCAGCCCTCAGCCAAATAATGTTACCTGCTGCTACGTCTTGACTTGCTCACATCTCACATCCCTCACCTTATCTCGTAATGCCAAGACATGCTAGGACCAACCGAAACAAGCAGCCATGCCAACTCTTCTCTGATGCTTTGTGCTTAAAAACGCGCACACGCAAGAACGCCGTCGTCGCCTGCTCCCCAGCACTCCTGCCACCCCCGCCGAGTCTCGTAACGCACGTAAGCAACATCCAATGTGGGCACTGGCCCCTTCGGTCGGTGTGGTCTAGTTATGAGGTACCGTCACGGACCCACGGGTCACTGTCGGACCCGCCACAGACCTCCGACATGATGTGCCATATCAGAGACCCATGGGTCACTTTGTCGCCAAAGACAGCAGTCGCCCCACCAAGATGGCCGGGTCTACCGGTATCGAAGGAGCGATCAACTAGTGCATGTCAAGAACAAGAGCATTGAACAGTATTGGGCACGCGTCAAGCAAGCAACGCGCATGCAAGCAACGCTAGAAACCGCAACCTCCGTAGCAACAACAACCTCAACAACACCTCTGCTATTTCGGCGGCCAGAAACGGACACGGCAGACCCAGCTCATCACTTAATAACCCGCACGTAATGCATACCAATCCTGCAGATTGACGGCGGTTGCCGAGCCGGCCTCCTCGATACGTCGGTAGGGAATCCCTGACCCATCCAGGACCAATGGAAGCTTAACTTAGCAACAGAAGTCCAAACACAGACAGACAGACACCAAAACATGCCCGTAGAAGGCAACAACATGACATAAAGCTCTGGATAGGCCACCACCGTGGCCTGCTCATAGCTCGCGCATGCATGCAAGCTATACCTTTAACGTGAATGCCTCTTTGTGTTCGCAACGTAACTCGACTAATACGTTTGGATTCAAGCAATGCCGGTAGATTGCTTGATATAAACCACGGTAGCCGAACAGCAAGTTCTGCCCTCCACTATCATCAACGCAACTGTGCCTAATAACAACTCTCCGTCACTCTTCCAGGCAAAGCTCATCGTTCCTGGGCCCCTCACTTCCCTACACAGCCTCGACTCCCGGCTGCCCGCTTACTTCCGCTCAAGAACACCAACAAGCAATAACGAGTAAGAAAACGCTAGCAGCCGTGCCCACTCCCATACAAACAGGAGCAGACAGCCAATACATACATAGAAACACACAGCACCATGTTCACTCCCTGTTACCGGTAAAGCTCTCCCATCCAGCAGCTGCTGGGAGCTGACCCTTCCATGCTACCGGGCTACAGGCCCCCCACCACTCACTTAATCCCCCAACCCATCCATCGTACCTAATCCCCAGCTACTCCCTCCAACCCCACCATCCTCACTAACACCCCACTCCATCCCCAGCCACTCCTCCTTCTCCTTCTCCTTCTCCTTCTCCGCCCTACTCCCTGTTAAAGTTGGCATCCGGCTCGTTCATCAGCCGCTGACGCAGCAGCTCCGCCTCCACATCCTCCAGATACACCACCCCCAGCGGACTCAGGTTATCATCCACCACCACAGCCGCCTGGCTGCCGCGGGAAAGCATGGCGGACTTGGCTTGCGCCAGCGGCAGCGTGTGGCGCACGTAGAGGGAGGCGCGCGTGCCGAGGACGGACTCAACTGGAAGGAGAGGTGGGGAAGGAGAGGCGGAGGGACGAGGGGAGAAGGGACGGGGAGGAGTCACGGTGTGAGGGAAGGCCGGCAATGCGGGACAGCGTATCGGTACCTTCAGAGAAGTCTTCTCAGCAGCGTTGCTGCACCTCCGGGCATGCGACGTGACAGGGAAGTTAGGAGTCGCAGTGGGGGACATGCGCTCTCCTCTCTTCCAGACACCATACATCCCGCATCCTTTCCACAGCTCTGCCTTCCGCTTCCCAGATCCAAAACATCCCACAGCTCTCCCTTCCACACCATGTCTCTCCCTTCACGCCCCCCTCTCACCCGTCTTGGGTGCGCCTGCGTCCTGCTGCCGCTCCGTCGCCTCCACTAGACTGGCGGCCCAGAAGAACGCCTTCTCCCGCAGGTACAGCTGCACCAGCGCCTGGGGGTATGACACGAGGGGATGCAAGGGGACGTGAGGGGATGCAAGCGGGCCCAAGGGGACACAAGGGAACATAAGGAGACGCAAGGCGACACAACGGGGACGCAAGCGGACACAGGGGGACGCAAGGGGTTACACAGAACGCAAAGCCGTGGGAGGGGTGTTAGGCTTTAAGACTGGCTGGCTGCATGGTTGGCTGCCTAACTGAACCGCATGCGACGTCCCAAGTCCCAATCCAACACCTCTTCCGCTCCACGCCCCCTCCCTCTCATACTCCTATGTGCTGCCACTACCAGTTATATCACCCACCGCATGGGTTCACTCCCCTTCCTCCTTCTCTCCTCACACCCTCCCCACACCCTCCTCGCACCCTCCTCGCACCCCACCTGCTCCAGCCGCTTGCTGAACACCCCCTCCATGTAATCCGTCAGCAGGCACGCCGCCCCAATGGCTGCCAGCAGCGGCACCAGCAGCCCCGTGTCGCGCGTGATCTCTACCATGAGCGCCACCGCGGTGAGGGGGGCGCGGCAGGAGGCGCCCAGCACCGCTGCCGCACCCACCACCACTAGGGAGGTGGGGTCGGGCAGGCCCCAGGGGACCGCCACGAAGTGACCCATCACGTCACCGACCTGGTGGGATAGCAGCAGCAACAGCAACAGCAGCAGCGGTGAGAGCGCGGATGTGTCAAGGATTTGTGCATCACACAAGGCACCCATCCTAGGCCCCGGTCCAACGGTAATTCACGTCCTGCCACCGTTCAGCAGCCCTATCCCCTGTAACCCGCTACCGTATTTCCTCCCTACCCCACCCTTACAACCGACCACACTCTACGTAGCCTTCCCTCCTCTTCCTATCCTTCCCTTCCTTCCCTTCCCCAACCTACCAGGGCTCCCAGGAACAGTGACGGCGCAAACAGACCGCCCACCAGGCCTCCGCCCACACACACCGCCGTGGCTGCAATCTTAGCCGTCAGCAGCGCCGCCAAATCTCCCGCCGACATGCGTGTCGAGTCGCGAAAGATCTCCTCCAGGTTCACGTAGCCGTACTGCACTTGCGGAAAGCGGTAGGCGATGATGCCGCATAGGGCCCCCGCCGTAGGCGCGGAGAGCCAGCGGGGCAGCGGCCGTAGCGCGATCTCGCAGACGCGAACGCCCTCGTACAACGCTACTGCGGCTACTGCGCAGCAGGAACCAAGTGCGGAGAACTGCAGGACGTCGACCAGGAGGTTGGGCTGAATGGAGAAGTAGGGGATACGACCGACCTGGAGAGCGGGAGGCGGGAAAGGGAATAAGAATACCGAAAAGACAAAGCGGGGATGTGCGAGAAAGGTAAGGGAGGCAAGCGAGGAGTACGGATCGTGGACAGCCGGGAAAGGAAGGAAGGGCCGGTGTCAAACGCCCCACATCACATAAGCGCCACCACCATCAACAGCCCACCCAGCTCAGATCCCAGCCCCTCACCAGATGCGTCCCCGCGCCCGCAATCCCCAGCGCCTGCCCCTGCGTGCGCAGGAACCCAATCACCCCCGCCGCAACGCTGGTAGACACAAACACCGTGGAGGTGGACAGCCGGTCCAAACCCAGTCGGCTGCTCTTTAATACAAACTCCACGGCGAACAACGCGCCGGACACGGGCGCATCGAAGGCAGCAGACACACCTGTGCAATGAACATGGCAGGTTTTTTGGCGATGGGTTAGGTACTAGGTAACAACAAGATCGTTGGGAATGGGCCACGTGACAACCCGTCTCCGTACCCGTCCTCTTCCCGCACCCCCACCCCGCTCACCCGCCGCCGCCCCCGCAGCTACCAGCATCCTTTGCCGCCGCTTGCTCAGCGTCTTGGGTACGATCACTGCCGCGGTGTTGGCTCCCAGCTCCACGCTCGGCGCCTCGGGACCCAGCGAGGCTCCGGAACCCAACGTCACCGCACTTGCGATGGCCTTGCGAGCCACCTGCCAGTAGGACTTGGGCAGCGCGGCTTTGGCGGCGTCGTCGGCTACCCCCTCCATGGCGCGGGTAAGGACCTTGAGCGGCGGGCTGAAGCCCAGGCGCTGCAGCCAGGCGACCGCGAGACCCGCAGCGACCGGCATGACGCACCTGTGGGTTAACGAGATGGGGAGGAGGAGTTGTGGGGGAGTTACTTGGATCGCATTGTCAGCCGCTTAACCTCCTACCGTACCAGCAAAGTCAGCATGCATCAAGTGCTAAGCATTCAGGTCCATGTGCTAGGGCCATACCGGTATGCTAGCCCTATGGTCCTACATCCATGGCTAGCAACCCTTCTATTAACAACCCGCCGCTCTTGCCATACCGGTAAATTCACAGTTTCACACAAACCTGAAGGGAACAGCGGTCCCAAACACCTCCAGCCCAGTCTTCCGGCCGCCGCCGATGCCCAAGCCAGTGCTGAAAATATCCGGCAGGTCGTGAATGGTCTGAATGGACACATCAAAGAGGAACACCGCCGTAGCCACCAGCCCGCCCGTTAGTACAGCGTAGTACAACGTGTAGATGTCATCCCGGTCTCGGAGCCAATCTGCTACAGGAGCCACGGAGATAACTTCGACGTCCGTCAGTCCCTCCGGGGTATCCGCCAAATCCACGCTGCCTGATGAACCTTGAGGACCCAAGGCGGACGCGGAGGATGCAGCGGAAGAGGACGCGGAGGGAGAAGAAAGAGGTGATGGTGGCGTGGAAGAGGAGAGGGCATTCGCAAGGGCCCGAGCAGTGCTGCTGCTAGTGCTACCGTCCATGGAAGACGTCGAGGCGCTGACGTCAGATGTTAGATCCGAACAGGCAGCCATGCCATCGGCATGTATGGTGGCACCGCTGCTTCCGACGCCGCTGCTGGGATTCCCTGCAGCGTCGTACGGTAAAACCTGTCGTACGACGCTGGCGGCGATGGCGGCGTCGACCACTGAAACAGGCCCATCGCCGCCATTGACCGCGGCAGCGACGGACGCCGGGTCCGTGTTGGGATGCATGATTGAAGCGACTGTTGGCATGGGGTGACCTGGCTTAGCGGCCTTATTGTTGTTGCCGCGTTTCTGTCCTGAACTGCTGTCGCTGCCGACGTTGTCGCTTTTGCTCGTCGCGCCGGCGCCGGCGCTGCTGCCGCGCCTCTTAGCCGGGCCTTTAGCGCCAGCTGCGTGCTTACCTCCGTTTGCCGTACCGTTGCTGTACGGTACGGCATCTTCCAGATCGGCAAACAGCGCATGCGTCTCAGAGGCCGTTGCTTGGGTGACAGTCGTGGGAAAACCGCCAGCGCCGCAGCTGTTGGGGACGCTCCCACCGCCGTTGTTGTACGGTGCCACGGGGCCGGACGGTGATTCCGCACTGCTACTGCTGTTGCCGTTGCTACCAACACCGTCTTCTCCATCCCTGCTGCCGCGTTCAGGCGAGGGAATGCTAGCAGCACGAGAGGACGCCATGCACGCCACTGCTCGGGTGTTGGCGGGAGCTACGCCTTCCTTTCTTGCGCAGTTGCGGTGTGAGATGTGTTGAGGGATGCCAGCTTCTGCCGCCGCAAGCAGCCGAGAGGACATGAAGGAGTGAGCACGAGCGCGACGCCTAGCGGGTTTTGGCCAAAGCATGTAACCCGGGCCGCGGCCGCTAGTACTGCAGGCTGCCATGATTGTGTTGTTAATTGAGCGGAGGACTGGGGGATGGCCCGAGGAGGGAGCAGCTAAGGAAGCCATAATTGAGGCGCCTGCACGTATGGGGATCAGTGATATGGGATACAGAAGCGTAATGGCGTAAGGAGCTTAGTTTTTTCTGCAAGTGCACACTTTGGTCGACTCGGAGAGAAGCGGCCTATTGGAGAGAAACAGTTTTTTACTGTCGCCCATGCTAATGCTACTACCATACCTTTCTATGATATTGGTGAAAGCAGGCGCGCCAGACAGCCAGACGTGGCTTCCTCTCACACCGGTCAGCAACACTCGGGCAAAACAGTACAAGAAATTAAATCTACAATACTTCACGCAGTTCAATACTCCTGTGTGTAACGACTGCAGGGCCGTGTGGCTAGGCAGCGAGGCTAGGTGACTTGCAAGGAAGCTTAGGATAGCGACGAAGGAATTAAGCGTGGTATCCTAAGTACCTTGCCTTATACTATATTACGCTGAGCACCAGCGTGCACCAGCATTGCACCCTGTTCCTGTTTATGCACGCACTATCGCACTGTACTGAATGGGATCGCAACCACCATCGGCCTAATTGAAGCGATGCAACCCAGATCATAGGCTTGCCTGTGTTATACTTTAAAAACTGTCGCAATGGCAACCCTAACGCGTTCATCCCCAGCGGTACGCACCACAACACAGCTTTCCGCTGTCCCTGTACCGACGCTCCGTTGCCCCCGAGCTTCAGTAACCCGGCATAAATATTATGAAGCACAACGGCTAAGACAAACTACGGTGGGCGATTGGCATTGCCTGGTATAGCGAGCTTAGGCTGCGTCGCCCGCTCGCAAGTGTAATGCGGAAGAGCACCGGGCAATTGCCAGCGATCCCATTTGTGGACGTCAGAACTGGATCCGTTGCTCTTTTTAGTTGTTGGAAATTGGAGCTGCGGCTGCTTCACTTGCTAACTCGGCAAACCTTTACCCGGCCACAAGCGGCGTACTTGACACAGCCAGCGGATCGCTAACCCCGGGAATCACTACCCCCCCATTCCTCCTCCTTCCTTCTTCCCACCCCTTTGCATCTCGCAGCTATTGCGCGCCAAGCGCGCCACGGAAGAGGATGAGCGGCTCATCGAGGAAATGAAGCGTGCAGCGGAGAAGGGAGACCTATTGGAAGGTGGCTTTGCAGAGGTACTGGTGAAGGTAAGTAACACATGTGTAAGGGGCTTCTAAGGCATTTGACCCCTTGGTATGGCGTCCTAGGATCGTTTATGGGGCGGGCGAAAGGGTATAACCAAGCGGCTCCGGCTATTGCTGCTGATTGTCGTGCGGAAAGCTGGCCCTCGTGAACTTGCACAGCGGGTGTATGCTGGTGCCTAGCGGATGATCTCAATGAGGACTATGCTTCTTAGCCCTGTTTGGCGCCTGCCTTGCCTTCTGAAACTGAAAAATTCAAAGGAATGTGGGCCTTTCCCCCTCTCTCCATGAACATACATGCTTGGACGTCGTAAGTATGCTAATGGCCTTTCCCTCCGGTTTCCCGTCGTGCCGCGTTTTCACCGGGAATCCGGTACGTCCCACAGATTCTGGCGGTCGTTGCTATCCTAGGCCTGTTTGCATGGCTTGGATACCTGGCGCAGCCCGTCATTGATAACACAGTGGCGTCCTTCCCTTCGGCCGCACCATAAGCCTGCGACTGGCTTAGTTTTTCGGGAACGTAGTTGGCGTAGTCAAGGCATGCATGTGAAGAAGGTAGCCAGGGTTTGGGACCTTGCCGTGGTCTGTAAGGTGCAGGGCCGCTAGGGCCGTCACTAGAATTATAAGGTGCCGGTTGTATGACAGTATGAGGCAATGGTAAAGTGGCTGGGCTGTGACCACGACTGACACCGCTACGGTGGGACGCGTGAACGGGCGCTTGCGGGAAGGTCTTCTGCGGGTGGCATGACTCTATGATGGCAAATAGGACTGGCACAAACAAATTGTTTTATGTAAGCGAGGGGAACAAAGAACGGGTGTAAGGAGAGAGGATGCACTGATTCTGAATATCACCGTGACTGTTGTGAGCGGGATGCCCCAGGCCCGACCAAAGCCCGTGGTAGTCCGTTGCAATGTGATTATCGGTATCTATCTTACATTGTATGAATTGGCATAGGAACATCCAAGGCTATGTCTAAATCACGACCATTTAAAACCATGCACGCAATCACCATGCAGCGAACGTGTACAAGTGCCCTCACGTCAGAACCACGTCGTCACAACCGAAGTCTCCATCATACCTTGCAGTCATGTACCATTTTATGCCATGCTGTCAAGAGTACTTTGTAAGGTCTTCAGGTGTTTTCACCAGGCTTTCCTATAACATGTCCCTCCCACAGATGCCATCCAAGCACGGATACTTTTTCCAAGACTCCCATAACATCTCCCTCCCACAACTACCATTTACGCACGGATACTCTTAATATGCCTTCCTTATACCTCCCTCCCACAACTGCCATTCACGCACGGGTACTTGTAATGAGCCTTCCATGACAGCCCCCACAACAATCATCGACGCAAGAAACCATCCGAACGCGTTGCGCTCCATGCGGCCCACAGCAGTTCCCATTACCATGTCGACCTAGCAGTGACTACCTGCCGGCTACTCCTAGGAACGTGACCTGCGAGACGTCATACCTCTACTGACAATCCATGTAAGTAGAGTGGTGCCCTTTTCGTACCACTGAACCAGCACCTACACAAACCTCATTGCAAATTTCAACTAAACCTGCTCCCCCACGTGCGCCCTTCTCGTTTCAAGCCTTGACAACCATGACAGCACAATGAAGGCTAAACCTAAAGAGTACCAAGTAAAACACAAAAGTAACATCTCTCTCCGGAATGCACGTTGCGTTACGTGCACTGGCTAATGAGTCAAGTACCGGCAGCTTCCTAACCATCTCACAGTGTAACCTAAAGTCAGACCCTAAACAGTCAAATGATCTTAACAGGACCAGTGCACAAAGGGCGCCGCCAGTAACCTCAAAAGATCTAAGGCACCTCCAGTAATCAGTAAGCTATCGTAATTGCCGCAATCAACAACATAGGGCAGCCCTACTCGACCTCTACCTTTCAGATAACTTGGACCCTGTACCGGTATGCTCCCGGCATCTCTCAGCTGTGGAAAACCAACAAGGCTAGTGCGGCACATAAACTCCAGCTCGGTTGTCCGGGACTAACTCCCATTGACATACGTCAACTGCTAAGGTAATGCCAAGCAATCGCACTGTCCAGAACAGCCTGAATCAGCGCGGTGCCCAACACAACCGCCAACGCTGCTTTGCGGCAACAGGTATGTGCCTAACGCCCTGCCTCTTCATACTACCCCCATGCTTGGATCCTACGTTTTCTCCCCAATTCTCGCTGACACATCACGTCGGCCCATACAGCATACGCATGGAAAGCACTACCACATACACAATTAAGGTGGCCCATGGCACACTGCGACGACCGTTGAGGGCGCGCTCAGTTCGTAGGATATACATTTGCAAAAGGAACAGGTCGGTTCTGCATGCCACGCACTCCTCAAACAACAAGGCAGCAACGCCTCGCAACAACTGAGGGAACGCAATTGCACACTGATATCACATTGAATGCTTGCTTAAGTTTTGGTCTGGAGGCGCAACTCCGCAACAAGAAGATTCAGCAATGCGGCGGGCAAGGAGAGCGGTTCATAGATAGTAACGTCACTAAGGGGCCTGCACACACCAGCCCGAACCAATCGTTCGCGCCAAGCTCATGCGCAGGTATGGTCACTGCGAAAGCACGCAGGCGCTCGCGGAATGCTCGCGATGATACATCAACATCATAGGCAAACGGCTGCCGTATGTGTCGCACGGCATGAGTAACATACCGGGATAGACAAATCATGACTTGAGAAAGGTAAAGCGGTCCGATTAGTTCAGTAGACAGGGACGACGCCAGTTGCACCTCGCGCACGACTTGTCATTGCGCCTTGCGGCGGAGGCTGGCAAACGGCCTGAGGTCCCTGCTGTTGCTGCGTCTGCGCAAGCCTGCGTTGCTGGAGCATAAGTGCCTGCTGCTGTGCTTGGTACTGCAGCTGTTGTTGTTGTTGATAGTACAACTGTTGCACCTGGCGCTGGTAAAGCAGGCGTCGGTAAGCGTCCTTCACGCGCTCGTTCGCCAAGGACCTGCGGAAAGGAAAAAATGGTACACAGGGGGCAAGGGTTAAATCATAATTACCTGGATGGTTTAAATAAATGGTTTGAATAAACAGGCCACTAAGCTGTAGGACCGATTGCAGCGCAATGCGCGTCCGTCATGCTGCTGTTAAAGATTAAGTCAGCCTGGAGATCCGATAGATTATTTTACTACGCAATAAGCTGTTCTCAAGGACTACAGTAACGTAGGAAACGTTGCACATAAAGCTGAGCTGTCGATGGGCAGAGGCAAGCGTGGGTAGCTTGCTCAGAGCAGAGGTGCAAGCCAAGGCAGACACAATTGCCATAACACATGGCACTTTCATATCGCTTTCGACTGAGCCACATATTATAGTGTATGTGGGTCAAGGGCGCAAACAGACCCACATCCTCACGTCCCAGCTGGACCATAAGCCATACCCCAACCAAGCGAAAAACATGATGCCAAGCAGCACAGTAACAATCTCAACGCTTCGTAGAATTTAACAATGTGCTTGTCGGGTGTAACTTACGCTCCGCAAGGAATTGTGATTGGCTCAGAGCGTTGAAACATACAAGCGCTCTGCCTGATGACAGAAGCGCCCTCATCCCCGCCGGCCTCAAACGTCGCATCCTCGCCTTCGTCGCTTTCCTCGCTGTCAGAACCGCTTGGGTCCTCCCCCTCGGTTGAGTGGGCAAGTAGCTCTGACAGCATGGACCGCTGTGTTCGCAGCTTAGCTGTAGAGACTTCGGCGGTAAGTGTACTCTCCCCATGGTTGGAGAAGGTGAAGCCCACAATAGCTGGCACAAGTAGGCTCTTATCCATTTCGTAAGAAGGTGCGGGTGGCAAAGCCAGGCGCAAATGCAGAACCAATCTATAGTTGTAGCACTAAACTTCCGCCGTAAAGCGCAGGAATAGGTATTGGTCCAACAGCGGAATTATCCTAGCAGATGCCTAATTCCGTACGGCAACGCTTTTTGCTCCACGTGGGCCCACGGGAACAGCGTAATCGGTATAACCAATGGCAACGTGTAACTCTTCATTTAACATGTACTGTATGGTAAGGGGCTTGGGCGCAATGTGAAGACGTGAGAACCTGAGCAAGCGCTCGGAGTTGAGGTTACACCTGTAAGTTACAGCACTTCAACCGTGTCCTTAGCTAAGTTGCTTGTATCGGAAAGTATCCATGACTGCACTTATATTAAGCTTACCGTAGCGTTGAAGGTTTTCGTGGGGTCGAGTGTCTTGTAGACTGTTGCGGCTCATGGCACTGCGGTTTACTTTAGGTCCGCATACATTAGGCACATCACCTTTTGTCGTATTGGCGGGTTTTTTATTACATTGTACTGTTCAATAGCAAAGGCTGCTCATACAGTTTTCCCTGCCGGACCCATGGGGCGGAGAACTTTGACATGGGAATTAGAACGCAAAAAACAAAGGCCGCATAGGCCAGGTCAAGTACGCCCACCGGAAGAGAAGTTTACTTATCGCTGATCCGTCACTGCCAAGGTTAACCCCCCGACAACCTTGTCAGTCGTACATCGCTCACAGCATCAGCCAAATGCTGGTCCGACAACAGCTGTGACTTGCTCGGTGTTAACTGTACGTGCATAACCAGTTTCAAATCCCTGCTCTCTCGCACAAAGCCACGCGCCAAGGCTTACAAAGCCCTACAAAAGGACAGGGAAGTATTATTTGTCCACTTAACAACATAAAAAAAATCGTGCGTAACCACCGTAACCCCAATCAAACCGATAATGCTATCACCACGCTACACAACCTCGCTCACCGCAGCCCTCACCTCGCGCGTCATTCCACTTCATCCCCTCCCAGCCTCATGCGCAACCCCAAAGCGCTCTACCTTGCGCGTCGCGGCACCGCTGCTTCCCCCATCCCCGCCGCTACTTCTACCGCTGCCGCACCCCCACCTCCGCGCATGGCAGCAACAGAACCCCCACCTCCGCCGGTTTCCGCAGCCCCCGCGCTTCCATACCCGCGAAGACGATCCCTCCCTCTCCGACGTACGTCACCTGCTCGCCAGCAGCAGCGTTGATGAAATGCTCCATGCGGCACACTTGGTGCTTACCTCCGCGGAACGCCGCATTGGTGACTACTGCAGCACCTTTGCCCGCGACAGCGGCAGCAGCAGCAGCGGCTCGGAATCCTCCGGCAAGATAGCCGAGGAGGGGGTGACGAACAGGCAGGAAGGCGTCGGATCTTCTCCTAGCGCCAGCGGCACGCCGGCCGGGCGACGCTGCTGGCACATCTACCGGAGCCTGCAGCAGGCGCGGCGACGACTGGAGTCGGAGGCTGGAGCGGAGGTGGTGACCACGGGCCACGCGGGCCCTGCGTGTGCTGACGTAGCAGCGCTGGAGCGGCTGATTCTGGAGCTGGAGTACGTGCCTGTTGAGGACATGTGCCGTGTTCTGGCAGCCAATGAGCGGTTGCTGGGGTCGCTGGTGGGGGAGAAGCAACGCGGGAGGAAGGGAGGCGGAGCAGGAAGTGCGGAGGATGTCGAGGAGGAGAAGAAGGAAGAAGAGGAGGAGGTCAGCAGTGCCATGGAGGCAGGAGCGGAGGCAGCCGGCGGCAGTCGAAGACGCAGGGGTGCTGGTGGAGGCGGTGAAGGTCTGGCGGTGGTGAATGGTTTGGAGGCGCAGTTGGCTGCGGAGGTGTTTGGTCGGCTGGACCGGGCGGGTCGCGGCTGGCTGGACCGGGATGACCTGCTGTCAGGACTGGAGCTGCTGGGTGGGTTGAGGGAGGAGCAGGGGAGCGGGGAAGAGTGGAGTTGTGGGGAGAGGGGAAGGGGGCTGGGGCCAAGGAAAGAAAGCAGTGGCGTAAGCGTGGGTATGTGGGGGCGTGGGTGATTGCTGCGTTGCAACGTGACTGCTGGCGGGCCGTAGCAGGTATCCCCTCGCGGCGCATTCCACCTCTTGCTTCTCCCCGCCTCTTCCCGCCATGCCTCGCGGCTGCTGTATCGCTCCTTCCCTGCCCCCGCAGGCCAGCACCTGGACCCCAGCGATGTGGAGCAGATCTGTTTGGAGCTGGGCAGTACCGGCAGGATTGACCTGCAGGTGGGCTGCGTGGGGGAAAGGGGCGGTCTGCATGGGGCCGACCTGCTCACCGCATCGCGCGTTGTTGCCGTTCCTGCACTCCCAAACCCCGCTCACCATGACCCAGTAGGCTCACCTTCCTTCCCGCGTACTACCGTAATCCAACCCAACCCAACCCAGCCCTATCCAACCCCAAACCCATCCTCTCCTACCTGCAACCGTCCCACCAGACGTTCATCGACATCGTGGCGGCTCAGCGTCTGGTGGTGCCGGGCAGTGACGCCATCTTCCTGCGCCACCTCAGACACGAGCGCCCGGAGTGGTGGGGCGAGTCGCCGCACTTCCTGGACGCAAGCCCTTGACGAGTATTGAAGCGGGGCTCAACATGACTGAGCAAGTTGGGATGGGAGAGTGGGATGAAAGGGCCCGGGAAGAGGTGGATGTGCAGAAGTCACAAGGGCGCCTTCCAAGCATGGAATTGATAGTACCACATCCGCTGGTACGGGAATTGCCGTCTAGGCCCCGTACTCGGAAACCGTTGCTGCACAGTTGCAATTGCTGATGTTGCACATAGCGGTGTTGCTGTCGAGCTGTGCGCATCGAATGTGGAAGAGCATCCCCGAATGCGCACAAGCAACCGCTAAGACCCGTGGGTCAGTCGATGGGGATAGAAACGGCCTGAAACTGTAAGCTGCGAGAATGATGCAGCATCACGCTCTTTGTGACTCTACACTGCACTCGTCACAGTTCTGCCTCATTTTAACACGGTCAACGCTATCCTGACATTTCAGTCCAGAAGCGTTCAGTTCAATGGCTTTTGACCATTGGCTTTGACCCCAGTAGTACGACTGCACTGGGCAGTCATGTCAGCTAATTTAAAGCTCTCTTCTGTGATGCCCGGTCATAGCCAGGAAATTCCCACTAGGTTGCAGAAGCAGCGCTCTCGGTTCTTCCCGCTCTACATTCCTCCACGCTCGCTCACCGCACGATGCCTAGTGCTCCCTCCCTCTCACGCTCACACCAGCTCTGCTCGCATGCCCCACCCACCAGCATTAACCTGTGCTCAGCTTCTGCAACAATTTCGCCTTTGCCTCGTAAAACTTGATGATATCGGCATCCGCATCCGGGTTACCCGTCAGGAATGGTCGCGCCGCCTCTAATACCGCCGGATCCACCCCTTGCACCCACCCACCTCCACCTCCGCCCCCGGCACCCCCACCAGGCCCTCCATCGTGGTACCCCCCGCTGCCTGCCGCGAAGCCGCCCATGCTGCTACTGCCAGGACCCGGCCCGGCACCATACCCGTACGATGGAGATGCTGCTACTGCTGCCGTACCGCCCATGTTGCCGTACCCGCCTGAGCCCTGATGCCCGTTGCCGCCCTGGTACGGCGATTGTGACGTGGAGGGGCCAGCGAAGGACTGGGCCCCGCCACTCATGCGTTGTTGTGATAACGACTGGTGTGGGGATGGGAACCCCGAGCTGCCTGCGCCTCCGGCTCCGCCGCCGGGATGGGGCCCTCTTAAGAGAGCGCCGTTGGGCCCAAAGGATGCGGATGCGGAGGGCGATGGCGATGCGGTGGTGGCTGCTGCCGCGGGCTCGCCCCACGCCTGGCGAGGCACCGGAGGGGGCCCGGCTGGCGAGGGCCTGTGGGAGAACGCAGCGTCAGGAGGTCAGGCAAGGCGATACCGCCGAAAAAAAGGAAAATCAGGACAGTAGGAAAGCAACGGCTACGGTGTTCCCCGCGATAATGAGAAAACAAGTACCAACATAGTCATGTTGTAGCGCCTGGTCCACGTTACCTCGTGTGTGGGGACATGCCCGGGCTAGCCACGGGGAACGAGGACGTAGAAAGCATCGCTGTCAGCGCCGCCGCCGCACCATCTCCCGCTTGCTGCTGCTGTTGTAGCTGCTGCTGCCGCAGCATAAGGCCCATCCATTGCTCAAAGTCGCGCTGCAGCCGCATCCGGCTCTGCTGTAGTAGCAATTGCAGGTGCTCGATCTCCTGTTTCAGCTCCCGTAGCTGGTCGAAGGCGTCCTTGTAGCGGGCCTTCTCCTGCGGGGCGGCGGGGCAGCAGGCGGTGGGCCCCACAGCGCACATGGGTGCCGTAAGGAAAGAGCCATAGCCTCTGCTGTGCGGCTTTGGCTGCTGAACTCCCTCCCGGCCTCAGCCATGCGAGCAGTAACACACAACCCTTCCCACTCGCGCCTTCTAGCCACAGCTCCTCCCGACTGAGACGACCAACGTACCTACTCATGCACTAACATATCGGAATCAATCAACTGGGATCCAAACTAACCCAAATGCCGACCCCAAAGCCCTGCATCCCCACCTGCTCGATGCTTTCCTTGCAGCGCCGCTCCTCGTCATCCTCCTCCATCTGCTCCACCGACAAGCCCGCCGCCACCGCCGCCGCCCCCCGCTGCATGCGGTGCCGTGAAATGGCGGCGCGGAGCTCATTGATGCGCTGCCTGGAGTCATTTACGGCGGCGCCTAGTGCCTTGGCGTTGTCGCACTTGGTCTTCAGCAGCGCCTTGTTCTCCTCGATGACCTGAGGGCGAAGAAGGAAAGCGGAACGGCAGAAGGGGCCCGGGGCGGGGTTCCGGGATGTGGGTTGTGGCAGCCAAGGGCGATGCCCTTTGACCCACATCGTAACCCGGATCATCCAGTGAGTTCTAAACGGAGCCCCGCATAAACGCCCTAAACCCTTGGTATACCGTCTGAAGCCCTTGAGCGGTCTCCCTCCTCCATCGTTACTAACCCAAACCCACACAAAGCTACCCCACCGCCATTCCCATCACATCAACAGCAGCTTGGTCGTGTTCTCTTGCACCCCACCTCGTTTTGCCGGTAGCTCTTCCGGAACAGCTCAAAGGCCTTGTTGCGGTCGGCCAACAGGTTGGTGTTCATCAGCACCGCCATCTCATCCGCAGCGGAGGAAGAGGCGGAGGAGCTCGCGACCAAAGCAGCCCCTCCAGCCCCTCCTCCGCCTCCTCCTCCAGACCCCGGTCCCGGTCCTGGTCCTGCTACCCCATCCCCTGACCCAGAACCTCCGAAACCCGGCCCCGCCCCTGCTCCTGCTGCCCCACCCGCCGCCGTGGCACCCCCGCCCGCCGCCGCTGCCGCGCCCTGCTGCAGCGGTCCCGAGCTGCTTGTGTTGAGGCTGGCCGCGCTGGCAGCTGGGCTGCCCAGCAGCGGCGCGCTGCGACCGCCGCCCGCCTCCCGACGCTTCAGCATAGACACCAGGATGCCGATCTCGTTGTCGCGCTGAGCCACTTGCAACTTCAGCTTGCGAACCTGCTCCTGCAGGTCACTCGCATCGCCCTCGCCTCCCCCGGGGTGTGCACCTGACTGCCCTGCCACACCCTCGCCGCCGCCGCCGCCTGCTGCCCCGCTGGGGGTGCCGCCACCCTCCTTGTGGCTGAGCCCCTTGCCGCCGGAACCGCTTCCCAGCTTGAAGCCGCCGGTTCGCAGCAGGCGTTTGAAGATCTCAAAGACGGCTCGGATCATCATCATGCTCCCACCCAGGTTGAGTGCAGCCTCGGGGGAGTCGTCCGCCACGTAATTCTCCACCTGGAAGGGCAAACGTGCAAGGCAGCTCGTGAAGGCATCGTACATGTGTGAAAGCCATAGCGTATCGTATATTACGAGTGTTTCCGACCGATCAAGGCAATGCATAGAGGATAAGGATTGCCCGTCCCGTTCACCGCACCGCCAAGTGGAGCAAGCGAGCAACCCAAGCCCCACTAAAGACCAGCCCCAAACGCCCTCTCAGCTCTCTCACCGTGCCCTGCAGCCTCATAATCTCATCCGGCGTGAGCGGCCCGCGCTCCTCCTCCTCGCCCTTGAGCAGCTTGACCTCCTCGCGCAGGTCGCGAACCTCCTGCTTGAGACGCCGGATGATGAGGCTGGGGTCCAGCTCCTCGTTCAGGACCACCTGGCAGGAGGGGACAGGGAGGTGGGGGAGGGAGATGGGGAAGGGAGCAGGAGGGGAAGGAGGGAGGGCGGCGGCAGCGGAATGCGTGTGAATGGCGAAAACTACACCACGCAAGCACGGCGGGGCGGTTAGAGTGAAGAAGACAGTAGGACGAGGTAGCTGGAGTGTAATGGGCAGGGAGCTGGGATGTAGGGGCTCCACCGCGCACTCCATGCTGGTCCCTCTTGTGCTCCTCCAAGCCAACATCCCTACCATCCTTCAGCTAACAACAAGCCCCATTACCACAGTTCACCACGTGTCCTTTCCCCTTCCTTTCCCTCCTCTTCCCACCCCCCCTCCTGCTCCTCCTCACCGTGTTGCGGACCATGGCCACCCGCTGCGCGAACCTGCAGGTGGAGATGGACTCGTCCAGCTGATCCGCCGCCGAGTTGACGGTGGCAACCATGGTGGTACGGCAGTTGCCGCCCAGCGAGTCTTTGAGAGCCATGGTCATCATGCTGTTGCGGTAGGGGATGTGCGGCCTGGGGCAGGTAGGTAGGTGGGTGGGGGTGAGGTGAGGTGAGGAGGAAAGGGAGCGGGCAGCGAGACCAGGAGGCGGCAGGGAGGAGGAGAAGAGGGAGAGTGCAGACAGGTGGGAGTCGGAGATGAAGTGGAGTGTAGGGAAAGCGAAAGGGAGCCGGCTATCCATCGTTACCCATGCCCATGGGCGCCCCCCATGCCTCACAAACCCGCACCGGTACCCCAGCCTCCCAGCGCCCCACCCCTGTCACTCCTCCTATGCGCACCTGTTCATGCCCATCGCCTTCTCCTGCAGCGCGATGATGACCTGTTCCAGGTAGTGCAGCGAGAGGTTGATGTACTTGGCCTCGCGCAGCGTGGTGCCGTCCACGCCTGTTTTGGACACGCGCTCACTGCCCGCCAGATCCACCAGGTTCAGCTTGGAGCGCCGTACGACATCCTCACCCGCCTGCAGGGAGGGAGGGAGGGAGGGCAGAGCAGAGGAGGGACCAAGGTTGGGAGGGGAAGTGCCAGGAAGCGGCGTAGGCATGCCGTGAGACATGGTGCAGCAGCAAGAGGATGCAGTCATGCACGGGGCAGGGCAAGAACGGAAGGTGATACCAGAGGAGCTCCTACGCTCCTCTCTGCCCACACCCATACCGCCAACGGAACTTGCGGATGGGATATGGGTGCATGGTGTGGGATGCGGGGCGGCGATATGCAGGGATGGTTCACTCAAGCGCCCCATTCAACCTGGACAGTTAATTGCTTTCCTCTTCGTTACGGTACCCACCTTTCGCGCCTCTATGTGGATTGTGAAGATGCAGTGGGAGCGCGAGGAGGCCATGTTCATGGGCGTCTCGCTGATGGTGCGGTTGGTGTCGCCCAGAAAGAGCTGCGGGCGGGGGAAGAAGAAGAAGGAGGAGGAGGGGGAGAAGACCATGCATTTAACGATAGGTGTAGGTGGGGCGTGAAGCCGGGATGTGGCATGGCGTATGAGGGCTGCGGAAGGTGCGGAGAGATGGAAGGCCCAAGCCCTCCTCGAGAGTCCGCCACCAAAGCGTCGCGACCCAGTTCAAACTCGGGTTGAAAATGCCACAAGCGCTCCAAAGGAAGCTATCCCACCTAAGGCTTAGCCCGCATCCATACCCGCCCATCTCCTGCCCCTTCTCTGCCATGTGAGTAACAAGTGCCCCCATCCTCACCAGGTTCAGCGCCTCCTCCTCGTTGTTAGCCCGGTACAGCGACAGGTTGCGGTACGACACCGTGCCGTCCTCCGCCTCCCCCAGGTGCACCTGCCCGCAAGCAGGGGGCAGCAGGCAGCACAGACGCAGGCATTGCCGCCAACAACAGCACCGAAGCCGTGCAGTTCAGCAGTGTATAGCAGTGTGTTTCAGAGCGGCGGGAACTCCATGAAGCCATGCAACTAATGGGAGCCCCAGCACCTACGTACTCGCGATACCTCCCTTGCCAGCCAGCTGACCCAGATGGTGCAGGTCCATCCACGTGCCCATCCTCAACCCCTGGTGCTCTCCCCTGCCCTGCCTTGCTGAGGTAACCATGAAGCAAACCCACAGTGGAGCCTTATCGCACGGTCAACCTCTCCCTGCCCCGCCCTGCCCACCTGCTGCAGGTCCTCCATGGCTTTGATCTCCCGCTCCGCATCAAGCAGGTCGTAGCCCTCGTTGTTGTAGATCTCCAGGTAGCTGATGTGGACCTGCGAGGCAAGGAGAGGTACAGGACGAATTGGTTGCAGGGAGGAAGGAAGTCAGGCGCAGGGTGGAGGGGAGTTAGAAGCGGCTGTTGGGTCGTGGGATAGGAAGGCGGGTTGCGAGGGCCAAGAACTGAGTCGTCGTGATGCTAGCTGTGCTTGTGGGCCAGCATGAAGAGGACTACTAGAGACCCACATGACGATCGGGAGGGGGCGCCAAGAACTATGGTTCTATTAACGTGTTAACAGCTCCATGACCGTTTCCTAGACCTTCCGCCTAAAGCTTGCCTTCTGGTGTTGCTTTACTCATCGCAAAACGTCAGGACTCGACGCTTGGCCTGCACATTATCAACCTACCGTGTACTGGGAGTCGTGGCGCTTGGAGATTTCGCTGAAGATGGCTGAGATTGCCCTGAGGATGAGGGAAGGAGCGGGCGTGCAAGAAACATGTGGGGCGGGCATGGCGAGTTACAACATGGTGGTCTTGCAAACCCAGACGAGAGGGAATATGGGGCTAACGTCATGCAGTTCACAGGATGTCAAGTACAACGGCAGGCCTCTTGGAGGCTCTGCAGCTGAAGTCCATCACTCCACACCTGGGAATGATACCGCGGTCCACGTAGCGCTCTGGCCCTCCGGTAATGGTGAACGTTTTCCCTGAACCCGTCTGACCATACGCGAAAATCGTTCCGTTGTAGCCCTCCATCGCGCCGGTGACCACGGGCCTTGCAACACGCTCGAAGACCTGGGGACGGCATGCAGGCACACGCCGCGACTGGTCTAGCATTTGTTGATCGACACAAACCTCTAATGATCCCAATTAGCTGCTGGGACCAACCTCATCTTGCTTTGCTTCGGCCGTGAGAATGCCATTGAAACGAAATTCAAAGTGTTCACGCTGGTTGTTCACAAGGCCTGCTGCTTCATTACGAGGAATATTGAACTCGAGCTTATTTTCGGAGACATCGATAACAAGGCGATTTGATGGCTTTGTTACAGGCTTAATGCGTACAAAAATATCAATGCCCTCCACCTCCGGACCAGGAGCCATGTTGCTGATCAAACGGTGTTTCGGCCCTGCATGAAACCTGCCTTGGCATGGTATGTTATTAAGGTACGGCAGTGGTTCCGGAGCCAGACAGTAAGCGCCGCGGTCTTGCTTACTCTGCGTGTTGTCAAGAGCAAGTTAACCGTAGCAAAGCGCCTTGAGTCCATTTACTACTCTCGGTATTGGTAAGGGTTGCCAATGTCTGAGCTGCGCGTCGCCGAGATTAAGCACACGCACTGGAACAGCAATGTATACGAGCCTTCCGACGTACGTAGGATAGGCTGCAACATTTGCCATGCGCTTGCGTTTACTTGATTGCCTTAATTCCTCCATCGGCCAGTTGGGTTACGTCCCTGTAACGCGAACTTAGAGCACAACGCATTGCGCATGACTATACCTCCCTAACCTTACCCTCTGACCCCCGTATGCATCGTATCGCTTACCTAAGCCGTCACAAATCGGCGGGTCGCTTTGCCCATTGCAAGGCCATAGCTCCCCGTGGCATTTACCCTGGCCACCGTAACCCCTGCCTCTTCTGCTCGGTCCCCCTGCAGGATACCTTCCTGCTAGTGGACGCTCTCCAGGCGCACGCACCAAAATGGGCGCACGGCAGACCTCGATGGTGGGCGCATGCATACGATGCACATGTGGATGCTTTATGGCTGCATGCATGCCCGGGCAGGCGCTGCACCTGCGTCACCGCCCATGATGTGGGCTCCAGCACCCAACACCTTGCAAAGCTTTCTTTCACCTTGTCCCGGTCGCATGCTCCTGCAGTTGCCTAGAGCTGGGTTGCGGCAGCGGCTATGTGATCACTTCCCTCGCCCTGCTGCTGCGGCAGCTGGGAGCCCTCGCCGCGCCTCAGCCGCAGCCAGACCAGCAGCCGCAGCAGCAACCACAAGAAGAACCAACTTGTAGCCAAACCGGAGACCAACGACAACAACACCAGTGCCGGCAACAAGCCACCTCGAATGGGCAGCAACAGCAACAACAGCTACCATCTTGCGCCGGCAATGCCTGCACGCATTCAGGGTCTGCGCCCGTTCCTGGGAGCACCAGCAGCAGCGGCAGCAGCGGCAGGTGCTGTCAGCTGCTGGCTATAGACCACAGTCTCGCTGCTGTTGAGGCTACCCGGAAAACCCTGCAGGCGCATCAGGTGAGGCTGAGGGTTGTCCCATGTCTCACCATGCTTCACGTGGCCGCTGCCTGTGACCCAGCCCTGAAAGCCGTCGCCCTCTTCCGCTCCGCCCCGCGCGCCGCCCGCGCTTCCGGCCCTTCCCGTGCTCTTCCCTGGCCTTCCAGGTCGGGGACGTGGAGGTGGTGGCAGCTAGCCTGTTGGGGCCGCTGCTGGAGCGGCTCCGGGGGACGGTGGACGTCATGGTAGGTTGGAAGGCTGGGACCGGGGTGAGGAAAAGCGGAGCCATAAGGGGTGCCCAACCTAACCAGCGAGGGTGGTATTGAGGATGGGCCGGGCAATGCGCAGGGGGCATAGTTAAGGGGAGAAACCTCCAGGCGGCCATTTAATGCGCTCTGCCTTTGCCCCAACCTGTGCCATGGTGTAGGTGTTCAACCCTCCCTACGTGCCCACTCCGGATGAGGAGGTAGCAGCGGGCGGTATCGCCTCTGCATGGGCGGGCGGCTTCAAGGGCAGGCGGGTCATCGACCGGGTACTGCCGCTGGTGAGAGAGAGATGGGGTATTAGGTAGACTGAGCCGCGGAAACACTGACCCTGACCGTAGTTTACCGGAAATGAGAGATGGGGTACGGGTAGAAGCATGGGCGGAGCAACCGCAGCGGCAAGTTAGTATGTAGCAACTTCACGAACTCTTCGCCGCTAACCAGCCTGCCTCCGTAACAATCACTTCGACCCGCCCGTCTGCTGGCCCTAATTGTACGGCAGTTACCGGAGCTGCTGTCGCCCCGCGGGGAGCTCTTCATGGTTACAGTGACGGAGAACGAGCCGAAGGGTAAGCATGCGTTGGGTCGTATGCAAGTCATCAAGCACGGTACCAGTAATGTCAGGGTAAACACTTCAGCCACTGGGGCCGCACTATCCCTACTTGGGACGTGGGATTGCAGAGCCATTATTACCACGTCGAAGTTGCTTGCCCTGTTTCAGGCTCAAGCGCTTTCTCATACCCGGCCATCGAAACAAATCCACAGTCAATGCTTCTGCTTTACGTTCCCAAATTGCCCATCAACCGCCAAACGTGGACGCCGCCTTCTTCGCAGGAATCATTGAGGAGATGGCAGCGTTCGGTTTCCAAGGTGGGATCCCACCCTCCCGCATGAGCTGGCCAAATATGACGTACCCGTTCAGGGCTAGGGTTAGGTTATCGTACCTCAGTACGACAGCAGCGTTCCTGCATGCGTCAGCGTTTATTGCTTGCCAAAACCTAACCCTCGGCTCTGAAGGGCTCAGTACACCGTAGGACTTGCGCATATCCCCGATTCGCCGCACGAAGCACCGACATCACTTGCATCTGCCGTTGCAGGCCGCATCGCGTGCGCGCGTCAAGCGGACGAGGAAACGTTGCAGATCGTGCATCTCTGGCGGAGCACGGCTGCAGGGCTTGCAGACGGCGGCAACAAATAATGCCTAGAGAGTACCGATAACGGAAACGGGAGCCAGCATTGTGTCGATAGTTCTTTTCAATCGTTTGCAGGGTCGGTTAACAACTTTCAGTGCTGCGCTTGGAATGAGTTCGGAGTAGGCGCCCGAAGGGCTGCTGCATGCGTACTTCACAGGATACCCTGTCTTGGGGAGATGAGTATGCGTATGGAGCGCATGGGTCGGCCGCTTAGCTTGGCTGACGTGTGGGGCCCAGGCTACCTACTGTTGAATGCGATTGGGTTGTACATATCTATCTTGGCGATGCAAACGTTTCTGCCTTTGCACTACTAGCTCCTTGCAGCCAGGCCTAAACTCCGTAAGTGAAGCTTCGGAGAGTAACCGTGAAGCGGTTAGCCAACTAAATAATACCGTCGCGGCGTCTGGGCAAAGAAGACGTCCATTATTGAAAGAGCTGGTGTTTACGAACGTCTATGAGAAATGCCGCGAGACGACCCTAGTGCGCTTTACAAAGATGCGTCCAAGGAACTGCTCCTAGAGTTCGTGAAACATGCTGGCAATCATGGTTTCAGGGGCAGCAAAGGAGAATGGGCTGAATACACGAAGGCGATTGGAACGGTGGGGCCTTGCTATGCCGCCCAGGCGCAGTTGGTTCAGCCGCCAAGCTTAGGCCCAGATGCCTTTTGTATTTCATTGCGCTATGGCTAGTGCTACACTGATATGTTGTGAATTAAGATGCGGTCCTTAAGGCAGCGGTCATTGGTATATCTGCTGGGTGCGTTCATCCTTCCAATCCTCTTTGTTCCCTGCAGGGCGCTCCGCCTAACAAGCGAACTAGGGAGGTAAGGAAATGCGCGTCTAAGCGCAGGTACCGGTATGCGATTTGTGCATTATGCCCTAAGCGAACCAACCATGCTCCCCAAACCGCATTGCACCGTCATCCTTGCGCGGTGCGTCTCGGGTCTCAAGTCGTCACAGGCTCCTTACCGCCATCCACGTTCCATATGTACCCTGTCAGGAACTTGAGGGGTTCGTCGCAAGCATCTTCGAGGAGGGTGACGACGATGCTGCTTCTGACGGCGACGGCCGCGAAGAGACAGACAACGCCCAGGAGGGACCCAATGACGCTAAGAGCGAGGATGGCAAGCCGGAGTCTGGTGGCAAAGCTAAGCGCCACCACAGCTGGGCAGAGTCCCGGGAGCTTGCGCGGTCCTACCTAAAGTGGCTAAAGACGATACATAAGGTGAGGTAGACGCGCGCCGGTCCGGTGGGATCCCAGCGCTGGCGTGTTAGCTCTTGTGGGAGCCCAGCGCTGGCGAGTTTCTGGGTTGCGGTTGCATTGGGGTTGGGTGTTGCGGTTGCGCTGTGTTGTCGCCGTCACTGCAACCCCTTGAGCATGGTGCTGTGCGGGTAGCTGTTCAGCTGGCTGCTGCGTGCTGTTCCTCCTGTCGTTGCTCAACGGCACTAACTTGCTGCGTGTCGTGGACTTGTACATGTTGTGAAAGGCACAAACGCCCAAACATGCTGGTGTTAAGCGCTCCTATTTTTATGCCCTGCTGACTCCACGTTTCCACGATTAACACAGGAAAAGGCCAAGGGCCTAGGCATATTGCCCCCTGTCGGGCCGCCTGCAAGCGATGCCAAGCAGCAACAGGAGTCGCAGCCGCAGCAGCCGGAATCGCAGCCGGAGGAACCGCAGCAGGAATCACCGCAACAGCCACAACAGAAGAAACCACAGCAGCAGCAGCAACAAAAGCAACCGCAACAAGCACAGCAGGAGTTGCAGACGGGGCAGGTGTCGGTGTGGTCGCTAGTGCACAAGACGCAGCAGCACCCCAAGTACGTCAGCAGCTTCAAGATGGCCTCCTACAGGCCGGACTGGGTCCGCACCAAGCGGTAAGGAGGCAATCAGCAAGCTGCCGAGCGGGTTAGGGTTAGGAGAGGGACAGTCCAAGTGGCAGTTACCCAAGCTCTTCCTATGGTCACGGTCAGCCGGTTTCCTCGCGACTCAGTTTACCTAATTATACCTAATTCCTCGCCTGCGCCCCTTTGCGCCCTCCCCCCCGCATTCCCCAGACGGCTGCTGGACGCCTCCCAGGTGCCGCAGCTGCTAGCGCTGGACTGCGAGATGTGCGCCACGGAGGACGACCCGTCGGCGCTGCTGGGCGTGTGTGTGGTGGACGAGTGGGGGCGGGTGTTGTACCGGCAACTGGTGCGGCCGCCGGGAACCATCACGGACCTGCGGACCAACCTCACGGGTGGGTGGGCTGGGCGGGATGCATGGGCTTGGCGGAAGAAGCGGGATATGTGAGGGTGTACGGTCGCATGGGTGGGTATGGCCGCTTGGGGCATGTTGACACCTCCTCGTCCTCCACATTTCACCCATGCAACCCCACCCTCACTCTCACCCTCAACCTCAACCTTACTTCTAATTTCATTCTTTCACTGCCCTTTTATATACTCACTCCCTCAGGCGTCACGGAGGCGGACCTGGCCAACGTAACGCTTACCGCCAAGGACGCGCAACGGGCTGTACGACGGCTGCTGGAGGGTCGGGGCCTGGAGGGGCTGCCGGGCGCGGAGGCCGCCGCAGCCAGCAGCAGCCCCGCTGCGCAGCCTCACGATCGGCCGGTGGTGCTGGTGGGGCATGCGCTGCAGCATGACCTGCTGGCGTTACGGATCGACCATGAGCCCGTCATTGATACGGCCATGCTGTACTCGTACAGGTGCGTGCTGGCGTTACCTGGATACCCGGGGTTGGGTGGGGAAATATAGAATATCCAATGTGTTGTGTGTGTGTGTGTGTGGGGGGGGGGGGTAATAACGAGCCGGAGCGGGGTGGGGGAAGGAGTACTGGGAAGGTGGGTTGAGTGGTGGGCAGAAGGGTAAAGGGTAAGAGGCGAGGATGCCTGTAGGCCCTGTGGGTTCTGTTGGAAGCAGGTCGTAGCAGCCTGCAGCCTGTTGAGCTGCTGCTGCTGCTGCTGCTGCTGGAGCTTGCGTTCAGGTGGGCCGGCCGTCTTCATCACGATCCCGCGCTGCCCCCACCATCTTCATGCTCCCTGGAAACCCCACAACGCATTCCAAACTTCCAGCTAAAAGGACGGAATAGACCCGTCTCCTTTCAACCGCTTTCAATCTCCCCAACGCCCGCAACGCCCCAACGCGCCCCGGGCCCGCAGGATCCTCACCTGCGTGCCCGGCCTCAAGGACCTGGCCAAGCAGCTGCTGGGGCTGGACATGCGGTCGGGTGCGGGTGGCGTGCATGACTCCATGGAGGATGCGGCGGTGGCCATGCGGGTGCGGGGGAGGGGGCGGCTGGGAGGGGGCGGCTGGGAGGGGGCGGCTGGGAGGGGGCGGCTGGGAGGGGGCGGCTGGGATAAAGCTGAGCCGCGAGGAACCACTGACCGGGGGGGGAACCACTGACCGCGGCGGCTGGGAGAGGGCAGCTGGAAGGGCATGCTTGAGGAGAGGAGGTTGCATTGGCATGAGAGGGCACGCGGCCTGGCCGGGTGCTGTGTAGGCACCCGCGGCGGCAGCGGGTGTCGGGTGTGATGGTGGTTGAGATAAGGAAACTGATTACCGTAGGGAACGAAGGAGCTGTGAGACTTGCAGGCTTCACCATAGGGGTGCAATGCCGGTGGGGGCGTCCGGCCTTGGTTCGGGAAGACCGTGGGGGCTGGTGTCAACAAGATTTTGGCACCTTTGGGCACCGGCCTTGGGCACTAAGATTGTGCCTTGTATGTTAGCGAGCGGCGCTACATGGGGTTACAAAGGTTACGGCCGCGTTTAATGCGGCCCTCCTTACACGCTGTTGTTTGACCCCGTCCCCTTCCTCTCCCTTTCCTCTCCCCTTCCCCCGCCCTCTTCCCCACTCCGTGACACCCCGTGACAACCCGCAGCTGGTGATGCGTGAGCTCCAGATGGCTCGTCTGACGTCGCAGTTGGAGCCGCCACAGGTGAAGGTACCGCTGGAGGAGCAGTCCAAGCTGTTCGTTCACGGGCTGCCCTCCGGAACCACGGAGATGGCGGTGCGGGCGCTGTTCAGCAAGCGTGGTGACCTGCTGCGGATTGAGGGCGACGTCAAGGAGAGGAAGGTGCGATGCGTGGACGCAGGGGCGGGGCGGGGGGGGGGGTAATTATGGAGGGGTGGGAGGTTGCGGGTAAGGTGGAGGGAGCGTGTGTTGTGTAAACGTCTGTCTTGTACATGAGGGCTAGTGTTCGTGGTGTTCAAGCACGCGCCTGCTTTCCTGCGCGCTACGGCTCTACGGTTCCACGGCAGATGCGGTTGGTACTGCTGTTGATTAGTAATCTGCTGTTCGGCATCGTTCGGAAATGCTAGGCAGTACTTCCTGTGCCCGCTTTGTCGGCATCATTCCTCAGTCCATACCCTAGTACATGCTCCTTTGGCTGCCAGCCACGCCAGTCATGACGTCCCCCTGCCGCCGCCCCTGCCGCAGGTGCACGCGGTGTTCAAGAGCTCGTATCACGCCAACGAAAACTTCAAGGACCTGCCGGGTCAGCCCCAAAAGGACTCCACGGGGCGGTTTTTCAAGGAGGTGGGTGCAGCTTGCGGTGTGCAGGGGACAGTAATGCGCAGAGGGTAGTAGTGAAGAGGGTAGTAATTTGCAGTGTGTAGTAGTGGGTAATGTGTAGTGTGTAGTAGTGTAGAGGGTAGTAGTGTTGTAGTGGGTAGTGGGTAGTGGGTAGTAGTATAGGCAGGTACCTGGGTCGCCAGGAGGAGCTAGGGTGGCACGTGGACAAAACGCTAGGGAGGGCGGCCTTGGGAGCCTGCTGCCACCGTTAGCGCGTTTTTAGCGCACAGTAAGGGGACCCTCACCTGCGCCCCCTTACTTCCTCACCATCCTGTGCCCCCCCCCGGCCCCCCGGCCCCCCGGTTCCATTCACCAGCAGCTACTCGGCTTGTTTACCATTCTCACTTTACACATTGGATTGATTTGTTATTAACACATTGGGTATTCTTTCTTTTCCACACCCGCAGGTACCTCTGGGCACCACGGGCGCTATGTGCAAGGTGCGCAAGATGGCTGCGCACGACGGCTGGTCGTTCTACGTGTCCACCGCCATCCCCCGGTCGCTACGCGTCAGGCAGCCACACCCCCAGGGCTCGGGTAGGCCTGGCGGTATCCGTGGTGGCATGGGCGCGCGCGGACCGCAGCCTGGGTCTCGGGGGGGAGCGAGGCCGGCGGCGGCAAGGGAGCTGAAGAAGGATGGCGAGGCGGGCGGTGATGGGGAGCGGCAAGCGAAGCGGCAGAAGCGCGGACACGAGGGGGACCCGGTGAAGGTGGCGGGAACGGGCGCAAAGGAAGGGGGTGCTGCGGCAGCAGCGGGGGCTTCGGCGGCGGCTGGGGGTGCGGCAGCGGCTCCCAAGGTGAAGGTTGAAAAGGCCGGGGGTCAGGCCCAGAAGGAGGAGGGGCAGCCCAAGGCGCAAGCGGCGGCAGTGGACGGGACCGCAGCCGGCCCGGCGGCAGCTGCGACAGTGCCTGTGCCAGCGAAAGAGGCGAAGGAAAAGAAAGACAAGAAGCGGGAGAAGAAGGAGAAGGCGGAGAAGGAAGGTAAGGAGGAGCCCAGCAAGGGCACGAAGCGCGGAAGGGAGGAAGGCGCCGGCGGCGGTGAGGGTGGGGTCGAGGCTAGCGGCGACGCAGAAGGACGAAAGGAGGCCAAGAGGGCGAAGAAGGAGAAGGCGAAGAAGCGGGAGCGCGAGGAGGGGCAGGAGGCTGGGGGCAGGGCTGAGGTAGTCGAACATGGGGAGGGGTCTACTAAGAAGGCCAAGAAGGTGAAGAAGGCGGAGTGAAAAAGGCGGTGAGAGCGTTTGCTGGTTGGATGTTGGAGTTCTGCACATGCCTGTGCGAGGAAGATTTTAGTGTGGGGAAGGAAGCCCTAACGTTGCCGTTTTCTCTCGGCTAACAACTGCAGCAGGTTTGGCTGTTATTTTGTATAGGCAGTGTTGTCAATAGGGATAGGCAGTGTTTTGTATATGCAGTGTGGTGCGCAATGCACAGGCGATGGCCAGGAATGGTCTTGCTTAACTGGCTTGTTAGGCGTGATAGAGGAGACTGGCGGAGGACAGAAGGAAGAAGTTAGTTGAGTCAGCGTGTTGTTTGTTTTCCATGTGCTGTCCCCAGAAGGGCGTATGCATTTGTAAATGCATTATGCTTGTCGAGACTAGACGTGGACTACTATAATACCCCTATTGACCTCCATCGGTTGGTCTGCTTAAGCCGCTGAGTAGACAGCGATCCAGGGGCACAACCGCCAACCGAGCCAACCGAGCGCCAACGGTGTATCCCCGTCGACCTCCGTAGGTTGTTGGTCTTAGCCGCCACAACGTCAGGTGATAATGAGGGGCTAAATGCCCACTACTTCGTTACCATTGTAGGGCGCCCCAATTAATTACCGGTACCACTTTGCCATACGGACGAAGGCAGCCATCGCCGCAAAGAAAACCCAGCCACGGCATCACACACGCATCCTTAACACCCCATATGTATGTACCCCTTACCGTGTGTGCACTAGTGTTGAATCTCACTGGAACTGATCGGCCAACTGCATTCCATGTTTACGTATCTGGTTTGCTGGCGTCGCAGCGCCACCAGATTGGGGCCCTAGATGCGAGGCGCGGTGAAGTAGCTAGCCACGTTCTGTACTTGCATGGTGGCACGACAGGTCAGGTGCATGGCCCTGGATGTGCATCTGCACTAGCGGAATCTTTGTGTGCTCCTCCTCCGGGTGATGAGTGCGGCAATGATCAGGGCATACCACCTTACCTAGCTAGCAAGCAAGCTACTCGTGTGTGTGCTCATCATGAGGATGACATGACCCGGGGTTCCTGCCTTGAAGCCCTGCATGCATGCTTCCCACGACATGGAGGCGGCCCTTACGCATGGAGGAAGGCTTCTGACGCTTAGATTCCCGCGGAATCTCATGGGCTGTGCGGGCGCCGTACGAGTAACGGAGCCGGATCCAGGTAGTGTAGGCTGACAACAGCTGTGTATGCATCAGGAGATGAGGCGCCTATCGTATAGTGGTTAGTACATCACGTTGTGGCCGTGAAGACCCCGGCTCGAACCCGGGTAGGCGCATTGCCTGTGCCGTACAGGCCTTTTGACGGGGCTTTTTGCACCTGCAAGGCGTCCCCCCTGTACGCTGCTTGATCTGGACGAACGAAATGCTGCGAGGAGGTGGCAATACTCATACATGTCCCTCGGATCATCACTCACTCACGCGATCTGCAATCAGGCAAACTAGATGCTGCCTTGTAGGCTCTTGGCAATCCAACCGTGATGTGATATTAGCACATGCGTTCCTCCCACCCCGACTCGCTCTCCCGCACCCGGCGTCTTCCCCCACTACGCTTCACCGCCGTGCCTTCCGCACGCTCGACGCCAGCCGCAGCTTGGATACCCGGCTTCGCGCCTGGCGCCTCAGCAGGCGGGGCAGGGGGGCTACTCGGCGCTGCTGGGGCCGGACTGGCAGCAGCAGAGGCAGGTGGACATGGATACGGCCTGCCAGGATGTGCAGGAGGGGCTTATCACAGGTGGGGAGCGCGCGGATGGAGGGTGGGGAATTAAGAAGAGAATGGGTTGAGATGGGAGCCGGGACAGCGAGTGTTTTTGTTTAGGTGCGTGCTTCAAGGGCTGCTGTGCACGGGTAGACGGGGCCTGGCGGGAGTCTAGGTAGGGAGGACGCAGGAAGGGGGAGACGAAACGGCATTGCGTGGCGGTCGTCGGCAGGAGATGGACCCATGGGTCGGTGGGGATGCCGGCTGGTGCTATGACAGGGGAAAGGGATGTCTGGCACGCACGGCAGCTAGTCAGGGATTTGGGAGATCCAGAAGACGGCAATGGCGGCCATTGCAGGGAAAGGAGTGGCGGGTCGTCATGCATGTATGGGGGCTCCCTCCGCCCTCCTGCTCACCCTCCGCAACCCGCCTTCCTCCGCACCCTCCGCAACCCGCCCTCCTCCTCACCCTCAGGCCTCCTTACCCCTCCTCCCCACCTCCTCTCCCTCAACCAGACCACATCAACGAAGAAAGATGCCGATTCACTGGCGCGCAGCTGCGGCGCATGGAGGTGGCGAGGAGTGGCATGTATGTGAGGCTGGTGGGCGTCATCAGGATGACATGACACGGGGTTCCTGCCTTGAAGCCCTGCATGCATGCTTCCCACGACATGGAGGCGGCCCTTACGCATGGAGGAAGGCTTCTGACGCTTAGATTCCCGCGGAATCTCATGGGCTGTGCGGGCGCCGTACGAGTAACGGAGCCGGATCCAGGTAGTGTAGGCTGACAACAACTGTGTATGCATCAGGAGATGAGGCGCCTATCGTATAGTGGTTAGTACATCACGTTGTGGCCGTGAAGACCCCGGCTCGAACCCGGGTAGGCGCATTGCCTGTGCCGTACAGGCCTTTTGACGGGGCTTTTTGCACCTGCAAGGCGTCCCCCCTGTACGCTGCTTGATCTGGACGAACGAAACGCTGCGAGGAGGTGGCAATACTCATACATGTCCCTCGGATCATCACTCACTCACGCGATCTGCAATCAGGCAAACTAGATGCTGCCTTGTAGGCTCTTGGCAATCCAACCGTGATGTGATATTAGCACATGCGTTCCTCCCACCCCGACTCGCTCTCCCGCACCCGGCGTCTTCCCCCACTACGCTTCACCGCCGTGCCTTCCGCACGCTCGACGCCAGCCGCAGCTTGGATACCCGGCTTCGCGCCTGGCGCCTCAGCAGGCGGGGCAGGGGGGCTACTCGGCGCTGCTGGGGCCGGACTGGCAGCAGCAGAGGCAGGTGGACATGGATACGGCCTGCCAGGATGTGCAGGAGGGGCTTATCACAGGTGGGGAGCGCGCGGATGGAGGGTGGGGAATTAAGAAGAGAATGGGTTGAGATGGGAGCCGGGACAGCGAGTGTTTTTGTTTAGGTGCGTGCTTCAAGGGCTGCTGTGCACGGGTAGACGGGGCCTGGCGGGAGTCTAGGTAGGGAGGACGCAGGAAGGGGGAGACGAAACGGCATTGCGTGGCGGTCGTCGGCAGGAGATGGACCCATGGGTCGGTGGGGATGCCGGCTGGTGCTATGACAGGGGAAAGGGATGTCTGGCACGCACGGCAGCTAGTCAGGGATTTGGGAGATCCAGAAGACGGCAATAGCGGCCATTGCAGGGAAAGGAGTGGCGGGTCGTCATGCATGTATGGGGGCTCCCTCCGCCCTCCTGCTCACCCTCCGCAACCCGCCTTCCTCCGCACCCTCCGCAACCCGCCCTCCTCCTCACCCTCAGGCCTCCTTACCCCTCCTCCCCACCTCCTCTCCCTCAACCAGACCACATCAACGAAGAAAGATGCCGATTCACTGGCGCGCAGCTGCGGCGCATGGAGGTGGCGAGGAGTGGCATGTATGTGAGGCTGGTGGGCGTCATCAGGATGACATGACACGGGGTTCCTGCCTTGAAGCCCTGCATGCATGCTTCCCACGACATGGAGGCGGCCCTTACGCATGGAGGAAGGCTTCTGACGCTTAGATTCCCGCGGAATCTCATGGGCTGTGCGGGCGCCGTACGAGTAACGGAGCCGGATCCAGGTAGTGTAGGCTGACAACAACTGTGTATGCATCAGGAGATGAGGCGCCTATCGTATAGTGGTTAGTACATCACGTTGTGGCCGTGAAGACCCCGGCTCGAACCCGGGTAGGCGCATTGCCTGTGCCGTACAGGCCTTTTGACGGGGCTTTTTGCACCTGCAAGGCGTCCCCCCTGTACGCTGCTTGATCTGGACGAACGAAATGCTGCGAGGAGGTGGCAATACTCATACATGTCCCTCGGATCATCACTCACTCACGCGATCTGCAATCAGGCAAACTAGATGCTGCCTTGTAGGCTCTTGGCAATCCAACCGTGATGTGATATTAGCACATGCGTTCCTCCCACCCCGACTCGCTCTCCCGCACCCGGCGTCTTCCCCCACTACGCTTCACCGCCGTGCCTTCCGCACGCTCGACGCCAGCCGCAGCTTGGATACCCGGCTTCGCGCCTGGCGCCTCAGCAGGCGGGGCAGGGGGGCTACTCGGCGCTGCTGGGGCCGGACTGGCAGCAGCAGAGGCAGGTGGACATGGATACGGCCTGCCAGGATGTGCAGGAGGGGCTTATCACAGGTGGGGAGCGCGCGGATGGAGGGTGGGGAATTAAGAAGAGAATGGGTTGAGATGGGAGCCGGGACAGCGAGTGTTTTTGTTTAGGTGCGTGCTTCAAGGGCTGCTGTGCACGGGTAGACGGGGCCTGGCGGGAGTCTAGGTAGGGAGGACGCAGGAAGGGGGAGACGAAACGGCATTGCGTGGCGGTCGTCGGCAGGAGATGGACCCATGGGTCGGTGGGGATGCCGGCTGGTGCTATGACAGGGGAAAGGGATGTCTGGCACGCACGGCAGCTAGTCAGGGATTTGGGAGATCCAGAAGACGGCAATGGCGGCCATTGCAGGGAAAGGAGTGGCGGGTCGTCATGCATGTATGGGGGCTCCCTCCGCCCTCCTGCTCACCCTCCGCAACCCGCCTTCCTCCGCACCCTCCGCAACCCGCCCTCCTCCTCACCCTCAGGCCTCCTTACCCCTCCTCCCCACCTCCTCTCCCTCAACCAGACCACATCAACGAAGAAAGATGCCGATTCACTGGCGCGCAGCTGCGGCGCATGGAGGTGGCGAGGAGTGGCATGTATGTGAGGCTGGTGGGCGTCATCAGGATGACATGACACGGGGTTCCTGCCTTGAAGCCCTGCATGCATGCTTCCCACGACATGGAGGCGGCCCTTACGCATGGAGGAAGGCTTCTGACGCTTAGATTCCCGCGGAATCTCATGGGCTGTGCGGGCGCCGTACGAGTAACGGAGCCGGATCCAGGTAGTGTAGGCTGACAACAACTGTGTATGCATCAGGAGATGAGGCGCCTATGCTGACACCCTCAGCCCTCGGCTGAGGGGGGCTGACGTCGACAGCTGACGTAGTTGTCACACCCCTGTTCGATTCCTGCCGGGAGCAGATTCCTGCATCCTGCCCGCATTCGCCCACCTTTTGCCGCTTTCCTGCCGCTTGCCGCCTTCTAGCACCTGCGCCTGGAGGGCTATCAGACGCAACCGCCCGCCC